CGTAGAATGATGCCGGATCAAAGATTACTGAGAAATCACAAATGAATAGTTGAAAACATGAATAGATGGGTAATTTTTTGGGTAAATCAGATAATTTTCTCAATGATTCAAGTAATTTTTCGGGTAAATCAGGTAATTTTCCCGACTATTCAGGTAACTGCGTGAGTAATCAAGTCGAATCAACCTGGTCCATCCGGACAATATGAATAGTTCCCAGACCATAGGTCACCATGCAAAATGCTCGGTACAATCTTTTTGCAGCCCTCAAAATAGGTCGGGATCTTTCTCTCGAGCTCAGGCCACAGCTGCATCAACTCTCTGTCACCGTGTTTCTGTAATAAAGCAACTTATTTTGTCAATTATTTGTCAACAATTTGTCAATTATTTTGTCAACATTTTGTCAATTAATGACAATATTGTGAATTTTATTGAATTGAAATGAAATTTGAAAAGAAATTTAAACAAGAAATCAAAAAAATTTACAAAATTTACAATTCATAAACACTTTAAATAAAATGCAATCCGAACTCACTTCCAGAAGCAAATCAATTTGAGACTTTAAACGTTGACTGCTGAAGAAGAGCTGAAATTTTAATTTATTTATGTAATTTTATTTATGTATTTCAAATTTTGAGGAGTTTAATTTTAACGAGACTCCNTTCAAGCAAAACGTTTGTGACTGATATGAAATCTTTTTGAAATCGTAGTGCTGTTTAATAACAGCTGGAATAAAGTTCCAATGTTATCGAATGCATTATAAGGAGAGATCTCTCAGGTGTTTGTGGTTACTCGCCGAAGCTTATCTATTAGCTAGTGTCATGATGGCATTCATACTCGGCGGATTGGATATCGAAACGTCGCAACTCACCACCCAATCGTTTGTGAATTCTTTAAATCCCTAAATGTATCTGTAGATGTCAAATATCTATTCAACTCACCACCCAATCGTCACACCACTCGTTATTTTGCGGTATATACCCGCAGCAAGTGGTCACATGGAATCCAAATTTTGTC